ATGTCCCACCTTTCTTATCCTACTCCACTGAAGATGCTGAATCTAGTCAGAGATTGTCTGTTTCATTGTCATTGAAAGTGGCTGAAGAGAAACAGAATCATGCTGCTCTCACTTTAGAAAATCATGGTCTTTGTTCTGTGTGGTCATTTAATGCTATCTGAAAATTATATAATAAATTTCAATACTTAATTGTAATTTGAGAAAATCACATGGATCAGGAGCTAATGTGGCTCTTTTCTGGCTGGACCCATGGTGGGTGTACAAGAGAAGAAAAAGAAGGTTCCTGCTGTGCCAGAAACCCTTAGGAGAAGGCTAAGACATTTCACAGAGCTGAAGATAAAGCACCTGAGAAAGAAGTTTGCCCAGAAGACACTTTGCAAGGCGAGGAGGAAGCTCATCTATGAAAAAGCCAGACACTATCATAAAGAGTACTGACAGATGTACAGAACTGAGATCCGAATTACTAGGATGGCAAGAAAGGTGGCAACTTCTGTGTCCCTGACAGAGCCCAAACTGGCATTTGTCATCTGGATTAGGAGTATCAATGGTGTGATCCCAAAGGTCCGCAAGGTGTTGCAGCTCCAAATCTTCAATGATACATTTGTTAAGCTCAATAAGGCTTCAATTAATATTCTGAGAATTGTGGAGCCATACATTGAATGGGGAAATCATTGAAAGAACTAATATACAAGCATGGCTATGGCAAAATCAATAAGAAGCAAATTGCCTTGACAGATAATTTATTGGTTGCTCAATCTCTCGGTAAATATGGAATCATCTGCATGGAGAATCTGATTCATGAGATCTATACTGTTGGAAAATGCTTCAAAGAGGCAAATGATTTCCTGTGGCCATTGAAGTTATCATCTCCTGGAAGTGGAATGAAGAAAAAGACCACCCATTTTGTGGAAGGTGGAGATGCTGGAAACAGGGAAGACCAGATCAACAGGCTTATTAGAAGGATGAACTAAGGTATCTACCATGATGTTTTTATGATTTGGGAAGTTAATAAAGTTCCTGCTTCCACAGTGAATAAAAAGAGCTACTGTGTTCAGAAATAAAATGAGATAACATAAGCATTAATAGATGACAACAATAATGCAAGAAGTTGGAGATATTTTGGAAGAAGGAGAGTGAATGTTCTCAAAATTGTGATGAGAAGCTAGGAATCTCCTAGCTCATGCCTGGCCTAGAGAGGCAAAAGATTAGTAAAGAGACAGCCAGTGTCAGGAGAAGGTTTCAAGGAAAGCAGCATCCTCAGAGAAAGACAGGCTATTACTGGAACAAGCCATGAAGAAGGCATCCACAAATTTGGGTAGTTGTGGCATTTTGCTGAAAACAGCAGTAAATTTATTGAAGATGTGAAACTTTAAGACACTAAGGAGAGGTTGAAGGAAGGTATGGAATACAGGTATGCAGAGACTTGAGGAATCACACTCAAATGATTAGTGGAGATTGGGGAATTTGGGGTTCCTTGATGACTGTCTTGGACTGGTATAAAGTCATCATAAATTCAAGACAAACAGTGGTGTGAAAATCCATTGGGAGATGGGATCAGTGAGACTCTAGGCTTCACTGATAATGGTGATGATGGAAATAGATGGCTCATGTTGATGGAAGACATAACCCAAAGTGATAGAGATGTTTGCCAAAAACATGCCCTTAGTTCTAGGGTAGGCTCACTGACTTATTTTGGGAGAAGAAAAGTTCTCCTTCTGGGTAGTTGTTCTGCAAACTGTTTATTGTTGACAGACAAGAAATTTCAGGAAGTTATATTATGCTAAACAAATTTCTTTTTCATTTTAGGTAACAAGAGTAAAAGAAAGTCAGGGAGATAGTTAGGCTGGGAAGATAGCTTAGTAGAGTAAGCGCTTGCCTGGCAAGCGCAAGAGCCTGAGTTCAATCCCCAGTTTGGCGAAAAAAAAAAAAAAAAAAGCAACTGATTCACTGCTTCTGTCAGAAGTAATGCATTTGAGCCCATGAGGTAGCCCAGTGGTCTAGAGTACCTGTTTAGCTAAACTTATGCAGA